AAACTCACATGCAATTCCACCCCTCCATTTCGGCAAACCCCTCACACGTTTCGTGGTCCCTTAGAGTGCTCCACCGAAGGCCCCAGTGGAAAGTTCGCGCGAAGTTCCGTCTCCCATTTCGGCGTACCCCTCACACAGTTCGTGGCCCCATAGGGAGCTCCACCGCAGGCCCCAGTGGTAAAGTTCGCATGCAGCTCCACCCCTTCATTCCGGCACACCCCTCACACGGTTCGTGGCCCCATAGGAAACTCCACCGAAGACCCCCGTGGGAAAGTTCGCATGCAGTTCCACCTCCATTTTCTCGCACCCATCACACGGGTCGCGGCCCCATAGGGAACCCCATCGCAGGCCCCAGTTGGACACGTCGCATGCAATTCCACCCCTCCATTTCGGCGCATCCCTCACACGGTTCGTGGAATCCAATTTCGGCTCGCAAGTGGGAAAACTCACATGCAATTCCACCCCTCCATTTCGGCAAACCTCTCACACGTTTCGTGGCCCCTCAGAGTGCCCCACCGAATGCCCCAGTGGAAAGTTCGCGTGCAGTTCCGTCCCCCATTTCGGCGTACCCCTCACACAGTTCGTGGCCCCATAGGGAGCTCCACCGCAGGCCCCAGTGGTAAAGTTCGCATGCAGCTCCACCCCTTCATTTCGGCACACCCCTCACACGGTTCGTGGCCCCATAGGAAACTCCACCGAAGACCCCCGTGGGAAAGTTCGATGCAGTTCCACCCCCCATTTCGGCGCACCCCTCACACGGTTCGTGGCCCCATAGGGAGCTCCATCGAAGGCCCAATGGGAAAAACGCATGAGCTTCCACCCCGCATTCCGTACCCCTCACACGGTTCGTGGGCCCATAGGGAGCTCCACCGAAAGCCCCGGTTCCATCCCCCATTCGGCAAACCCCCTCACACGGCTCGTGGCCCGAGTGAGCCCCACCGAAGACCCCAGTGGGAAAGTTCGCATGCAGTTCCACCCTACGGCAGGTTCGTGTCGTGCCGACCCCAGCGTTGGTTTTTGACACCGCAGGGATCGTTCAACCTTGAACGATCGGCCGCTGCCGCAACGTCCGATCGTTCAACATCGATCGATTCTGGGTCGCTGGCGGCGTTCAACCTTGAACGTCCGCGCTGGGGTCGCCGCTGGTCCACCGAAGACCCCAGTGGGAAAGTTCGCATGCAGTTCCACCCTACGTGCACAGGCGCACCTGACGCACTCTGCGCGTGCCCCGGATGTGGCGCACCTGGCGCGGCTGGAGCGTGCGGAACACACGGTGCACGTGGATCACGTGGCGCAGCCGGCGCACCAGGCGTGCCGAGGAGGAGGAGGAGGAGGAGGAGGAGGGAGGGGGAGGGAGGGAGGGAGGGAGGGAGGAGGGAGGGAGGGGGAGAGGGAGGAGGAGGGAGGGAGGAGGAGGAGGAGGAGGAGGAGGAGGAGGAGGAGGAGGAGGAGGAGGAGGAGGAGGAGGAGGAGGAGGAGGAGGAGGAGCGGCATGCTTGGGCCACATGGGTGCCTGGCGCACCTGGCGCGCGCGGCGCGCCTGGCACGCGTGTCGCATCTCGCCCGAGCGTTGCGCGCATGGGATCTGTTTTGGTTTCCATTAGCTGTCCATCCACAGACTACCGCTGAACACGCTGCGGTTCGGGAGCGACGTTTTTTTTTTTTTTGTTGTTGTTTTTTTTGTGTTTTCTTTTTTTTCCGAAAGAGCGGGCGGAAGTGAACGGCGCGGCTTGCGGGCGGGAGCGGTGGCTTGACCCCTCCGTCTACCCCACCCCCCCTGTGGTCTGGAGGTGGGGGCGGCGGGTCGTTGGAGCGTCCAAGATGGCTTCGGCACGGAAGCCAAAGCCATTGAGTTCACGTTGGCCTCCTGATGGGGAGGCAAAAAGGAACTCCCCTCCTTTAATCGATATCTTCCAAAATGGCTCCCAGATCGCCCCCGAAACTCCCAAAGGTGACCTGGGACGGCCGCAACAAGAGTCGAAAGTGGTATGGTAAGCCGCGCCCTTCGTTACGCCCGAAGCGTACAGTTCAAACCCATGATTTGTCCATACTGTCAGCATGAGTAGGTAAGCAAGATACAAGGCCTGGGAGTAGGGAAGCAGCGTCGAAAAATGAGGGCGTCTCCTTCTCCGTTACTCGGATGAAATAGCGCCTCGCGAATGAGGCAATCAAATGAAGCGACGTCGCTCGAACCCAAACGGCGTCGGGGGGCAGGCGTGTGGCTCGTAGATCGCCCTTTTCAAAGTCAGGAGGGGGAGGTCGAACGACGGGCCGCGCCAAGCTACATTGCACTTAGAATACAGTAGCAGCACTGGGCGAGCAGCAGCACAGCGGGCAATTGTTCGTTGCGTTGGTGAGACGGTCGCCAAAAGTCAAGCGATTACTGCTGCAGGAAAAGGCCAGCCGCGGAAACCTCACCATCAGCTGGCGCAGCAATATCTGCTGAGGGGCTCGCCCAACGTTCCACACGGGCAGTGGGCCCACCTGAACATGGAGAAGGGTGAGTGCCCAGCGAAGCCTTCGGGCACCAAACCCCGCAATACTCGAGCAAGGACCGACCGTCCCGGCATTCCTATAGTTATACCACGGAAATGTTATCAGAACCCCAAAATGTTCCAAGAACAAACAAGTTCTTAGAACATAAACCAGATGTGTTAAGACAAGACAGCATCAGCCATACATGTTCTAAGAACATTTCGTGGACACCACAAGAGGTTCTTAGAACATTGTTGGGTAGGGCTATAGGCGAGCCAGGACGCTTCGTCACTGCAGGCAATACGAAGAACATGGGGCCCGTGATCGAGCAGCGGCAGGCGACTGGCCCGCCACCAGGCGGGCACAAGCACGTGCCCACGCCTGCGCTCATACCTTGACCGCGGCCCGTCGTGGGCCAGGCTGCGAAGGCACTGCCCGCTCTCTTTGGTAGCACATGTACATCTTGTTTGCATCGTGCTGGAACGACTTGTAAAAGTAATTCGCGGTCGGTGCAGCCTTCGGCGCCCATCGGCCGCAATGTCACGCGCGTCGCACCACTGCGTGCCATGCAAGATGCCTCTCCCCATCAGTTGCTGAATCCAACAGGCGTGACCCGATGTGGTGCGTTCAAGTGGCCGTGCTAAGGTCCTGACGGGATAAAGACTCGAGTGCCGACTCAGCGCCGAAGGTGAGCGCAACATCAATGGTTAGACCGCCTAAATCGAATATGTTCTTTAGTTGCGTCAGAGTAAGTGGACATGCCTGGAGGTCGTGTAGGGTGGCGGGCGGTGGTGGGTACAAGCGTCGGGCATCGCCAGAATAACTGGAAGTCACTTCTCGCCGATGAGATTTGCAATGTGCATCTATCCGACTCACGAGAGCTTTTCCGCTAGGCATGTGCCCACACAGTAGTAGGTTGGCACCGAGGATGCCGTGCCTCTTTGTTTCGTCGCCGGCCTCAACGCTCAGGGAAGCGATGACCTGAGTCGCCATGTAGGTCTCCGTCACCTGCCGGAGTCGTCATCTGGCACACGCTTGTCTTTTTGGCCCTGTTGTAGTTTGCGCGTTGCGGCATTGAGGCGACGCACTTGCATGTTAGTTGGTTACGCGTAGTAGACCACGCGCAACCTTCACCAAAAATGGGCAGTGGAATTGTTGTCTCCTTTTCTTCTGCTTCATCTCCTGTAACGCTGACCTGGCCGAAGCGACTTTATGTGTTCATCTTGGTCGCCCTGGGAGTGGCCGCCCTCGGAATTCGCGTCGAGATCGGCGCAGTGGGTGCTCGTGAATTTGTTGAGCATGCATGCGCCGGACATTCCCTCTACGCGTTTGATATACTGTCGAATATGTCCTCGATTACTGACATTGCGATGCCGTCGACGCGCTTGGCCACGAGGAAGACTGAGCCCACTTCGACTTCTTAGTCGTATGATGTCGGTTTCAAACCCAAGCCTCTCGCGATGGTCCTGCCCTAAGTTTGAGCGAGAATGCTCGCGGGCAATCCGCGGTGCCCGTTCCCGGATTCAAGCAGCGCAGACAATGGCAAGACTCTTCATGAGTCGCATGGCCGAGAAGCGTTCGTAGCACCGTGGCCGAGCCAGGGGCGTGAGACGTGCCGTGCGTTCCTTCTCCCATGCGGCTTCAGCCAGCTCGCGATATGTCAGGCCTTTTCAAGAACGCCTTGCCAAAAGCCATCGACACAACTATGCAGGACTTCTTGCAAGCGGCCGCGCTGCCGCGCTTTCGAACAATCGTTAAAAGCCCGCCCGCCCGTTCCTGAACACGTCGCAACGTCGCCGGCGTCGACGTCCAGTGAGCAACGAAAAATGGCACAACCTGATGGTGCGCCCCGCGTCGCCTTTCTCGCTCCTCACAAAACAACTTCCACTGATCCGCGCATCGTGATGTCATGATGTTCGGCGCGCTTGGGGTTTTCAGAAGCATGTTCTCAGTTAAATGAACAATGCCTCGGAGATGTTTGCAAGTTTTGATTGTATTCGCCTCTGTGCAGAAGTCGTCTTCCTTGGCGACGGAAGCTGTGTTTTTCCCTCCTGAATATTCTCCACTTCGCCCTGCAAATTCTCGCGTTTCTGCGCGCTTCTATGCTCGACGCTGGTCGGCGACGCAAATGTGCAACAGTATGCGGACATCCCGGTAGGCACTGTGCGCACTAACTCCACCGGGGTCTCTCCCAGGGGATCCTTATCTCACCGAAATCTGGCGTGCCATGCTTCAAGGATGCACGTTTCGAGATGCACCTCTTATTCTTCAACGTTAAGGCGACCGTCGTCATTCGTGTTGGGCGCTCGCACTGGTTCGTCCTGCGCGCGGCCGCCCGAATGTTGCGCGTCCGCCATTCTCGGATCTGGACGGGTCCTCGTCGAGACCTGCCAGACGCTTGGTGGATGACCCGCGCGCGCGTTGACCCGGTGATGTCGCGCATGATTGAAGGGGCCCCGGGACGCGCAAATAAATGCGCACAAATACAAGGATCCCAGATTTTCCTATATTTTCTGGGTTCCTGTCTGCCCCCCCACTTCCCATATTTTCCTAGGGGGTCGACGATTAATTGTGTCCGTGTGTTTTTCCCCCCCCTGAACGATGAGTGCTGCGCGCGAGGATTCGCAGTTGTGGAAGCCCGAAGCGGCGCCGCCGTCGCAGCGTGCCCGCGCGCAGCTAGCGGCGCAAAGCGCCGCGGGCAGCCCGCGGGAGCGCGCGGCCGCTCCGTTCTCGATCTGGAAAGGGCCCCGGACTGGAAGCTGCAGGGCCAAGTTCAAGGGGCCCTGGGACACGCAACTAAATACACGCGAATAAATAAAACAGATCCCCCATGTTTGCCCATATGTTCTGGGTGTCTGCGTCCCTGCCCGCTTCCCATATCTTCCCATAGTTTCCTTGGAGGTCGCCGATGAATTGTGTCTGTATGTGTGTTTTTCCCATCCTGACAAGTGTGCCCTCGGAGAACGCCCGCTCCCCGCGGCCGTCCGCGGGCGCCCCTGCGCGGCGGGCAGGTCGCCGAACGAACTGAGAGGTTTCCCCACGGGCAGGCTCGCAATAGAAGCCAAGGGGGCCCCCGAGGCCGACGAGTCGGAGCCCATCTCGCGGACCGTGAGAGCCCATGCGTATAATGTATGACGCAGGCCGGGATCCGGCACAAGGGCGTCTCGGTTCCCGACATTGACTACTGCCAGACCTCGGTCTTGGAGGTTCTGCATGACGGGGCGTGGTCCGAGCCAACCACCGCAATCGCCCGTGGTGGTGGTAGGTCGGTGATACGGTAGTCCACAAGACCGCCTGGTTAATAGTTGCATTGCCCATCTGGCTGTTTTACTGGTGCGCAGTGCTCGGCTGGCCTTAGCTTCTGCTGTGGCCTGTGCAATAGCTCAAGTGCTTATCTGCCTGACCGTCTGTTCCTGGCGGCGGTCTGACGCTTCCGCATGGTGCGAACAGTCTACGTCTTGGCAGATATTGGAGACAAGCTGGTTGTCGGCCATAGAGTGCTCGATATGGCGATGGGCCGTTAAAGAACGCTAGCGCGCTGCATGCGAATAGGCCCGCATGCAATAGTCTGGGAAGCGCCGAAGGAAATATCGAGTCTTCTAAGCTCCTCCCCCATGACGTGCAAGGTGTGTCCTATGATGCCATTTCGTGATTCAGTGGTGGTGGCATGTTGCCCTCGGGCACGGATGCGTAGTTCCGTGCCATCGGCCCGTAGGGTGGTCGTCGCAGTCGCGTTGTTCGGCCCCCTGCGCCGTCAGGGTGCAATATTCTAGCTGGGCCCTGCTGCATCCAACTCTAGCGGTTGGCGTTCAAGATGGCGTGCGTCGTCTTGTCGATTACCTGCGCGCCTGCCGCCCACCGCGCACGTCGGTCAACGACGTGGAACGCGAAATGCTGTTTGCAAGACAACAGGCCGCACATTCGACTTCCCCATTCAAATTACCGAAGACTACTCGATGGCACGACAGTAGTACCGCGCTTCTACCAGGCACAATACTCACGGCGATAATCGCACACGCTCGTTGATCTGATTCAACCGTGCGGCGCCAAGGCCTACCGTCGACCGCAACTAACGCACTAATTAAGGAATCTGGCGCGTGGCCGCGCTTCAGCCTAGGGCCGAGGCGGCGGCGGCGGCTCTGCGCCACCCTGTTCACGCCCACGTTGCCCCACCACTTGCGGCGGAACAGTGGAGCCGCCGCCGCGCCTTCCCCATGCCTCGCCACTGCGGTCTCCATGTGCTCGTCGAGTCATAGCATAGGGTCTGGCGCTTGCGTAGGGTCACCATCGCCGAGGTTGTTCCACGAATGGAGAAGCGCGCGTGGCCGCGCGCTTGGTTGCGCGGGCTCTGCTGCTGACGCAGCCGTCGCTGGTGCCGCTGGTGGGGCCTGGCCGAAGTTGTCAGGCAATTGCCGGGGCTTGGGGGATCGGCGCTTACCAGGCGTTAGCAGGCGGCCCTGCGCGTCGCGTCCGTAATCCTTTTTGCAGCTTGGACTGGCCGCGCACAGTAGCGTGTAATCGAGAATCGGCACTGTGTCGGGTTGCGGTTGTGGCGCGGTGAATTAATATCTATACGTTATCGACACATGCTGGGCATCCCAGGTCCGCCACATGATGGCCGGATGATGCTGCAATTGCAATCGGAGTGTCGCGGTATACTGGGATCACCCAGGTCGCAGACGGCGCTGCCGATCGCGCCGGTCTGAGCCTGCGCTCGCCCTGCAAAAGAGCGATGTCCAGAAGCGAAGACGCCGTGCAATTTTAACCCCATCTACAATCAGAGGTTGCATGTTTGGGGTGTCTTCTGCCGCTCGTGGCAACATTATGCCGCCTGCTTGGGCATGATCTTATAAGTTCCCCTGCACCCCGCAGTCTCAGAAGGCTTAAGTCCAGCCCTTTGATGGGCCATCGTCTCCGTGGGTCTGCGGATGGGCGTGCCCTTGGAGCCCCCTAGCCCTGTTGGGATTGTTGAATGGTTTGCTTGTGCGTGGCATTGCGTTTAGCCCAGGTTGGCCACGCGGCGAATTCGTCCACCCACTTGCCCACGGCTGGTTTCCGTAGGCGGAG